AAGACCTGAGGTCCTAACCATGACGCCTGACGGGTATGGGGCACCTACCAGTCCGGCGCACTCCTCAACCAGGACGCCTGCCGGGTATGAGGCCGCCGCAGCCACCTGCCACTAGTCCATCTTCAGAGCTATACTGTTGCATCTACCGTGTCAGGTCTCTCTGCCATCGACGCCACCACGACACCTGACATTGTCGTCCTCCTGCGCGAGTCCATCCTCTCACATCGAACTCCGAATCTACATTGCGCCACGCCATCGAGATCCATCGCCATCAATGTGTAGGATAAAGCACCGCTCCACCAAAGATGTCGTCCGCTGGTCCCGCAAAGCCGAGTGCACCTCCAAGAATGCCGTCCCCAAGGGGTAACGATACGTGCTTGCCGCCAACCACTACTAGGAAAAAGCCTATACACAGAATCTTAGCAGCAGCGCGCTTTAAAATAAGGCGCTGCTAGCAGTAGCGCGCGCAAATATAACTCACTGCTGAAATAAATATAGCAATAGCGTGCCTGCTCTAAGACGCGCTACTGCTATAATTCCCACGAGGCCGCCGTGAGGCTAGTTCTAGCAGCAACGCGTTAGCACGAAGAGCGCTACTGCTACGGATCATAGTAGCAGCGCCATTTCACCAATAATCGCTACTGCTAAGTTTACTACAAAAATTTAGTCCCACCTCGCTCCGTGGGAAGAGAGTTTCTACCACCTTAAATATGTTACTTCTCAAACTTTGACAAGCACTTGGTCTTCACTGAACTCTATGTATAGAATTTGTGGCCACAATATGAGTCTTCACCGGTTCCTAAACCGGTGAGGACTCATATTGACAAATCAGATTGTACACAAAAAGATCGTTGATGATCAATGTATTTTTGAAGTCTATTTTTACATGCTGACACATAACAGTAGCGCTTTCTTTGTGAAAGGCGCTACTGCTAGGTAGTTTAGCAGTAGCGCCTTTCTCTACAGCGCGCTACTGCTAAGCCATTCCATCTCCCACCCCTCCTCTCCTCTATTCGGTCCACTCACACTCACACACTCACCGGATCTCCCCCTCACCCCCCCC